AGCTCTGGGTCCCAAGCCGCGGGCCAGTGCGTGTGGCGGCTGCGGGTGTGCCGCGTCCCCTGCACGAGGGCTCTTGTCCAGGCCCCCACCCCCGGCGCCCTGTGTCTGGACCGGGGTGTGCACCTGCCCGGGTCAGTGCAGGTCTTCCACAAGAATTCCTGAAGCAGGAGTGGGAGGAGGGGTCGTAACACCAGGGCTGGTGCCGGCCCCCGCGGCCGAGCCCAGGCCTGTTCCCAGTGCTTGGTGGGCCCTGAGCTATCCGTCCCTCAGTGTCCCATGGAGGGGGGTGTTGCCCCCTGTCGGCAGGGAGGTGTGGTGGCCCAGGCATCCGCTCCTTTGCAGGGGAGCTGGGGCCGTGCACGGCGGCCGTCTCCTGCTGGTTCGCTCGTGAGTGTGTCCGGCAGCGCCTGGTGGGGCGGCCCGTGTCACCCCCACTGGCCTGCCCCCTCCAGGCTGGCCTGGCCCAGAGCAGCCTGCACCCGTCTCACCTCCGCGGTTCAGGGAGGGCTTCCGGCCCCGGGTCAAGGCACTGGTTCTCGGGCTGGAGACGTTTTTGGTTGTCACATGCGGGGAGGCCAGCAGTGCCACCAAACATCCCACGGCGCCCAGGGCAGCCCCACCACAGAGCATGACCCCACCCCAAAGGCCAGAGGAGAGGAGCAGCCCGGGTCAAGGGCGGGACCGTGGAAGCCACCGTGGAGGAGGGGCGGGCCTGACCAGAGTGACCCGGCCTGCTTTCTCCGCTTTGTTAAGTCTCATCAAATCTAGCTTCCTTCAACCTCCAGCCCACACCTGCTGGTCCAGGTAAAGGGAGGGGCGCCATCAGCCACCGTGCTCAGCAGATGTCTCTCAAAAACTAAACTCTAAGATGGGACTGAGTATAAACGTTTCATCAAACGCAGAGAGAGGGCAAAGCAGCACCCGGCCCTACCGAGGCCCCGGGGCCCGTCTCCTCGACGCCTGCCGCAGGCCCTGGGCAACTGTACTCGTGAGCTCGCGGACCCTCGCAGCCCACGAGGAAGCTGCAGCTCAGAGACGCCGAGTGTCCCTCCCAGAACCACACAGAAAGCAGGAGGCAAAGCCTGGATCTGGACCCAGTCCCAGTGTGTCTGCAGAGCCTCGGGGCCGGGTGGCCCGGGAGGGCATCCCGAGCGTGGTCACCTTGGATATGACAGCCAGTCTCTGCTCCACGCTGGCAAAGAGGCTGGTGGACGTCCTCTTCTGGAGCCTCAGCCTGTGCTGGAGCTGCAGCAGGGCCGCCAGCTGCGAGCTGCTGGTGTTGGCGGTGGCCGTGAGCAGGATGTCCCGCATCATCTCCGAGGCTGAGCAGCTCTGGAACGGACCGTGGGAGGTGCTGGGGGCCTGAGCCCGTCCAGGGCCGGTGGGGGCCCTTGTGCCTCCCCCAGGGGCCCGCAGGGTCATGGGGCAGGGCCAGGCCAGGCCAGCCCTTAGGCCTGCCCCTCCGGGTGCGGGGAGGGGTGCGTGCGGCCCTCTCGCTCTGAGCCTCAGGACCACGCGGCCTGGAGGCCTGCTGCTGCTGTGGACGGACCCCCAGACACCCGACAGGAGGGACAGGGCAGGGCTCAGGGCCACCTCCCGCCCCTCCTCTAATGAGCACGTCCTCAAGGCGGAGCCCCAGGCGCAGCCTGCCTGGCCGGGCCGCCAGTAGAGGGCACACCAGGGTGTTGGGGGACCTCCCTCTTCCCAGTGGCCAAGAAGGGCCTTGAGGAAGGAGCGCGGCACGATAGCACACCTGCGACAGCGCCAGGAACTGGCAGGCGGCCGCGGGGTCCAGGCAGCCGAAGCACTCCACCATCTCCAGGCTGGCAGCGCCAGCGACGTCCAAGAGGCCGCTGCCCAGGGCCACCTGCAGACACTGCAGCAGCACCTCTGATGCCTGGGCCAGGTACCTCCGGGCCCGCGCCAGCCTCCCCTGCGGGGCAGAGTCAGGCTCAGGCTGGCTGGCGGGCAGGGCGTGCAGGGCAGGGAGCACAGGCGTACCTTCAGGTCCGACCCTTTCCCGCTGTGCTCCTCAGGGGCTGCCCTGAAGGCCGGCAGGTCGCTGTAGGGCCCCTTGCGGTCCCCGTCCTCCTGGACTGTCTCTGGACACTTGAGGTTGTTCAGCTCAGCGCCCGGCTAGGAACACGCGGCTCTAGTCAGCGGGGTGCCTGCCGTGGCGGGGCGTCTCTGCAGGACCCCTGGGTGAGGGGCACTGTGGGCCAGTCTGGCCTCTCGCTGACTTCGGTGACTGGGGGGCCCCTGGCCCGAGAGCCCAGCGGTGGGCAGGGAGGGGAGGGGCTCTGAGAAATGAACCCAGGGCTCAGCAGGGTTGGGGCCTCGTGTCCACCCTTTCAGCCATTCAGAATCACACCCCTGGGCATCAGGGCAGCCCGGACCCAGTGAGCCAGGGGACAAAGCCACAAGCATGGCCCCTCAGGGACCTGGCCAGCCTGTCTGCAGGACAAGCCACTCTGATGGGACACTGAGGGGCCCCTCCTGAGGGCAGCAGACCCAGGAGCCCCTGGTGTGCCCTCTGCTGGAGGCCCGGCCAGGCAGGCTGCGCCTGGGGCTGCGGGGTCACCACAGGGAGCAGCAGGAGGCGGCCGGACCCGGGAATGGGACTGGGGGGTGTGTTTCCCGGGCGGCCCTGCGAGGAGGGGCGTGGCAGTGCCATTTCCCAGGTGGGAGGCCGGCCCAGGGCACAGCCACGTCTCTGGTCCATGTCCATGGACTCAGGGCCACCTGCTCAGGTGCTCAGCCAACACTGGTTGAACGAGGGGCCCAAACTCCATCAACTTGTGCAAATATGAGTCACTTTCCAGGCCAGGAGACGCAGGACAGACAGCCCAGTGGGCTGACCTGGGCCCACACGCCCAGTGCGGTCGGGGAGGCCGGGGCCCTGGCCCCGGATTGCACGGGGGCGTGGCACCTAGCTGCTCCTTGGGGCAGTGGGGACGAGCCTGGCTTCACTGCCGGGCAGGTGCCGTCCCCTTGGAGGAGCTGGCGTCTGTTTAGGATGGTGACCTGGAGCTTCCACGGCCGACAGTGGCAGTGGTGGTCACCAGAGTTCCTTCCGAGGGGTGGGGGCCCCCCGGGGCACTGGGCCTGCTGGGCAGCCTTGTGGGGCTGCAGGCCGGCACGCACTGCCACCGTCGCCAGGTGGGGGGCTTCCTGGGCAGTGTGGGCAGGCGGAGTGAGTGCGGGAGGGCAGGGCTGCACCGCGGGATGGGGCCTCACGCTCCAGTGCTCAGACGCAGCCCAGACCCAGGGTGCTGAGCTGCTCAGGTGGGGGAGCTGCTGGGAGCCACGGCCTGGGGACACCACATTCGGGGTGGGGTGTCGGGTTACGAAGGGGCTCCCTCCTGCCCTTGGCCCAGCTATGTGCCTGCCCCACCTCCCGTCCCAACTGTTCACTGCAAAGGACAGCGTTCCCTCCAGGGGTCTGTTTCTCTCCTTCCCGGGGGTCCCACAGGCCGCGCTGCTTTCTGTCTTCGCCCTCCCTCAGGCCACCTGCCCTTCGTAACCCGGGACAACTCAAGGCCCCTTTCACACCCCGGTTCTCCTGGGATCAAGTGAGTTCTCAATATTTTGTTGTGTTTT